ACAATAATTCATGGAATAACCATTCATAAATTAATGGTTTCATCATCAAGAAACGGTGTAATCATCTAGTTAGCTGAGGTTCCATACCTGTATCCTCATGACAGTGAAGTCTGGCACTGGGGGGTCGTACAGGGACACACATGGGTCTGAAGCATCCTGAACACACGGGAAGATTTTGGAGCTGGCGGGGGCGGGGCTGTAACTCAGCATCTCACACAGCGTGTTGACATCAATGTATTTCGGTGTCAGACCGGCCCTCACCGTGTTGTCTGAGCAGGCCATGCACTCGATACAGTCTACATGAACGGATGAATAGACAGACAAGGAAAGCAAGTTCTAAATAAGAAGAGTGGGCAGTGAACTCTCCTTCAAATGGAAAAATCAATTCTCAGATACTGTTACAATGTGATGTTAAATGCATTACTGGAGTTATTTCGTTTCCACCACTTGCCTCATCTACTTTCACAGTTAGAGATTTCCCAGAATGCCATTTGATAAAAGGTGTGAGAGGAATATATGTGGGTGGACAGGAACACTGATAGCAAAGGCAAGACTGACATTCTTTCCAAAGATAAAGGTGAACTCAACACATCTTATAGCTAAATTGCATTCTGGTCTGCTGAGGCAGCTGTTAGTGAAGACACTTAGTATGTTTCTGTAGACTGACAACAAAACTCCATGTTTCTGGATGATGTGTTTCAACTTGTGATGCTTTACTATGTGATGTGACTTCACCAATGCTTGTTTTTGTTTTCTGAAAATTATCAGATAACATTTCATTTTCTAGTCAACAAAAATTACGTCCCAAACGGACCAAAACCAACAGGGGAATTGACCCTATTAACAAGCATTGTTAGTGCAATCAGACCTGGTGTAGCTTATTCCTCTGTGCCATAGAGCTCCATTGTTGTCCAAACACTAATGCTGGGTGACATATTCCTTCATTACCAACAAACACACACTGTAGTTTATCTTGACTAAATCCCATATACACCATCCTGCTGCAGGAAATTCTCACTAAAGAAACAAATGTGTATTAATCTGCAACTCAAAGTAGTCCCGAGTAAATGCACTATTTAATCCTGTTTGAGTGACTTTTGCTAACAACTACAGTGCTCAGCTGTTTTTGGAAATTACTGCGGAGGAGCCAATGGACTTTGGGTAGGAGAGCCAGAAAGTATTGACAGGGACACACTAACATATTGTTGTTTTTTGGCTTTTGGTCGTATCCTTTAGTACTTCCTCTGCTGCTTCTCTGTCACACAGGAGCACTGCAGGGACACTGAAGTGTCAATCATTTAGAAACTGACATTCTGCTGTTATCCACTAGCCTGGATAAGATCTAGAGAGCTAAATCTCATGAATATAAACAAAAAGCATCATCTGACCTCCGTAAAGGTAAGCGT